TAATAGAGTATAAATTTATTGGTGTCCTTACATGCTAGTTTAGCTAGGAGGAGGAGGAGGGGTACAGTACTTGGTTGAGGTGATACGGCCCGGCTCACTTTCTTTTGCGGTTACCGCCACCTTAGGAAGCCTCGAAAAGACCCCTCACCATCTCCTTTGTGTCCTTGCTAACCAACTCTCCTCATTAAATCCCCCTCTCCTCCCTCCTCTCCATTGTACAGCTGCTGCTAGCTAGCTTAATTGGCGCGCTTGTTAGCTCTCCGCTAGCTACCTGCTGCCTGACTATACATACCCGACGCCACCGTCACACGCGCACGTATACACCTACCGGCCCAAGAAAAGCTCCTCTGGCCCCCCTCTATCTAGCCGGCGAACAGGAGATCGGTCGGCGCATGCAAGGCGTCGGTGACCAGGGAGGAGGCATGGAGATGAGCTTCGGGGGTGGGGGTGGAGGCGGAGGGGAGTGCTCCTCGTCGTCCGCGGCGGCGGTGGCGGTCGCGGCCGCGTCAGCGGCCGAGGCGGAGGAGCGGCAGCTGCTCAAGGGGGAGATGGCGGTGCACCCGCTGTGCGAGCAGCTGGTGGCGGCGCACGTCGGGTGCCTGCGCGTGGCCACCCCCATCGACCACCTCCCGCTCATCGACGCGCAGCTCGCGCAGTCCAGCGGCCTCCTCCACTCCTACGCCGCCCACCACCGCCCCTTCCTCTCCCCGCACGACAAGCAGGAGCTCGACTCCTTCCTCGTACGTCCCACCCTACCTACCACTTCTTTCCGCCATGGATCGACTGATGCGTCGTGCTCATCCTCATGTGCGTGCGTGCGTGCGTGCACGTCGTCGTTGACGCTGGGTGTTGTGTCTGTGTTTGTGCAGGCGCAGTACCTGATGCTGCTGTGCTCGTTCAGGGAGCAGCTGCAGCAGCACGTACGGGTGCACGCCGTGGAGGCCGTCATGGCGTGCCGGGAGATCGAGCAGTCCCTGCAGGACCTAACTGGTAAAAAAGGATTCTCTTCTCTACCTACCTGGAAATTTCATTTCTATACAACATCCATGTCTGTATTATATTCCTCTCTTTCCGTTTCTGTTTCACTTTTGGACTAAAAAGAAAGTGCTATCATCGGGTCATGCTTTGGTGCAATTTTATACACCCTTTGCTTATTAGTTAGTGAATTTAGTATTTAGTTGTTGTCATGTCTCAAAGGTAAAAGGAAAACTGTAGTTGTTGTCATGTCCTCTTCACGTCGAAAATCTCAAAGCTGTTATGCCTTTCCTTCTAAGACTTCCCCTCTTCGAGCAGGTGCGTCGGTTGAGCATGTACCAAACATAAACAAACTTTATTATATATACATACTCTCTATGTATCACTATGAGATAAGGTTGCAGGTGAGGGAGAATACATTTGGGCCGGGGTTTACCAGGACTGGGTCGTGCCCTAGTACGACGGAGGCCCGAGTGGAAAAGCCCAGCAGCCCGGCCGGTTAAAACCCTAACAAACTCCAAATTCCTCTTCTTTGAGCATAATTTTTTTTTCAGATGTAGAATGGCGCAAGCCTTGTGTTTAGGCATGCTAGGTAAAGTTAACAAGAAGGACATCACTGAAGCATGATGTTCGAGCCCTACTCCCAATATCTACGGAGTCACCCGTAGCCCTGCGGTCCTACCCGCCTAATCTTCCTCGCTGCACCTCCCCATTTTTGCACCCCGTCTACCATCACCCCCAACCTCTTATGCCTCATATGGCCATTAAATCCTCCTCCATGAACCACCAATTACCTTCTCCTAACCCCGATCAGATGATCCATTCTAATCTCGAGGGTATACCCGTCCAACTGCCGATTAACACCGGGAGTGCCAGTCACACATCAAGATCCCCCGTCCACTTCTTCCTCCCCATTCTTTCTCCTCTCTGGAGAATCCCTTCCTCCTCCTTCCACACCACGGCGAGTTCTCTATGACTAGGAAGCAAAATTACACTCGATATTTCATTATAAGAGGAAAACCAAGGGGTCACTGTATCTCAGGTTAATATTGGTAAATGAAATCTAGTAACTGGTGAAAAAAATAACTAAATATCAAACTTATAACATGGAAGACTTCGGTAACAATGTGAAATTTTCTCTTGGCACCCCCTCTCACGCTCCTTGGTAGGTAAGAAGGGGCAATATTGTTCATGTTGTTTATACATAATCCCAAGCGATATTTTTTTTGTTTCTTTTTTGCTAGAGACCGGAATGACCGGTTTTCGGAAAAATCCAGAAATCTTAGGGGGGGCGGTTATTTTCACCCCAAAAGCATTTGAAAATTTTCAATTTTTGATCAAAATTTGTTGAATTCGAGGAAAGTTTGCCAAAACCATAAAATTCAGGTGGCTGGTATTTTTCTTTCTGCTCCCTATCGGAAAGGCCTGTTTCCGTATTTTCCAACTGGAATTGAAAGCCCTGATCCCAAGGCCCTCCATTTTGCTCCTTCCGTGTATGCATTACAATTTCATAGCATGCTCCATATTACTTGCTTTTACTGGAACATGCAGTAGAAACTGTGTATTTAGCTTACAAGGTAGAAATAGACACCCAAATTTAAGCAAGGTGAACTTAAAAACTATGGGTGGTGGAAATATACGTTCACTCTCCCACCCAATTGAGCTCAACCATATACTCCGAATATGCACCGTATCTCAATCTCAACGAACAAAAGTTGATACCTTGGTATGAGCAAACACAAAAGTGAAGTAATTTTTTTTCTCAAAAGATTGTCGATGGAACAGGTGACTCTTGTCTAACTATCTAGCTATGGGCTCTTACTTGAGTATCACATGATCCTAGAGACAAAAGGTGTCCCATGACATGACATGGCCATACCCTTCGTGGTCGCGCCCTTATTATGACAAATATGTGGATTGCCCTTCAATTATATTCATTGCACTAGCTCTTTTGACAAGTGCGGTATCTCATATATAAAGCTAACTAGCTAGCATGGAGAAATATATGCGCTGAAATGGCTGTACACATAGCTTAGCATTCATGCAAACTTTAATAATTAATGGTTTGACAAAGTTTTACTACTATTAGCTTTTGTTTCTAACTCAAGCCACGCTCAGGTTTTGCCACCATATATTCATGTCGGCTCTATCTTGCTTCTTCCATCTCCAGCGCTTCACGTAAAACCTGAAGTTGCATGGGAAGCATCCACATGCATGTATGTGTCTCTACTCCACTTGATTAATCTGTTGATGCATGAGTAGTTTCCTGGCTAGCGTTTTTTTTCCCTCGATCTTTCTAGCGCTGTAGTACGTCGAACTGTTGCACACAGCGACCATCTGCAGAATTCCAAACGCGTATGAGATCATGCGTCAAATCAGCAAGCCTTTAATTTGGCACTTAGCTTTCGTGCTTCATGTAGCCCATGCTCATGGCTGGTACGCTTGTCTAGCTTGATTCGGTTCATGTGTCGCGATAACGATTTGATGCATCCATGCCCCCCTTAATTAGCTATAGTTGCTCATCAAGGTTAATTAATTAGCTATAGTTTTCCCATTTATGATTTATCTAAATTACATTGTATATAGTTTGCCCTATCTGAGTTTCATTGTTAACCCTTGCCATGTGGATGTATGGATCAGGTGCATCGTTGGAGGAAGGGACGGGGGCGACAATGTCCGAGGACGAGGATGAGGGGCCACCGATGATCATGGAGGCGGCGCCGATGGATATGAGCTCGAATGGACATGACATGATGGGCTTCGGCCCGCTGGTGCCCACGGACACGGAGCGTTCCCTCATGGAGAGGGTCAGGCAGGAGCTCAAAATTGAACTCAAACAGGTATTGTGAATTATAGTATGTTCTAGAAAGTGAGTTTGCTACAAAATTTACATGTTTTTACCACCATCCAAAATCAGATCCAGTACTCCCTCTGTAAAGAAATATAAAAGCATTTAGATCACTAAAGTAGTGATCTAAATACTCTTATATTTGTTTACGGATGGAGTATGTCTTAGTAGAATACATGCAATCATTTTCATTTACTAAACTTTGGATACGTACAAAATTGTTTGGATTTCCCAAGTGAAGATTTTTTTTCCTCAAGGGAAGATGCTGGCACCAAATTTGTCTTCAAAATACTTTCATGACATTACCACTCAAAATATCACTCACAGAGTCATATAACAGTAAGGGTGAAAATTATGTACTAAACACCATATCAAACCCTAAATCATATCAGTGTTAAACTCGTTCGTTGCAGGGCTTCAAGTCAAGGATTGGGGACGTGAGGGAGGAGATACTCCGGAAGAGGAGGGCCGGGAAGTTGCCTGGGGACACCACCACCATACTGAAGCAATGGTGGCAGGAACACGCCAAGTGGCCCTACCCCACGGTGAGTGCACCGTACCTATCATGCATGCATGCAAGAATGCAACTAGCCATCCACTGCTGCTGCTAGCTAGCTAGCTAAGCAGCTGCCATGCATCCTTAGCTGTTCTCCAACTTGTTGATTGAGCTTAGCTTGCACCAAAACTTGTTCCATCGGACAGCTTGCATGGTGTGCATGCTTCATACAATCTCATTCCTTGTCTGATGTTATGTCCGTGGTTTTAAATTATCATATCTCAATTGCACGATGTTTACTTTGTTTTGTTTCTAATGTTGTGTATATGTGCATGAGTAAGTCAATAATAGTTGCGTGGAATGCGTTTCGTTGTGTTTGTACAGGAAGACGATAAGGCCAAGCTTGTTGAAGAGACTGGCCTGCAGCTGAAGCAAATCAACAACTGGTTCATCAATCAGAGGAAGCGCAACTGGCACAACAACTCCCAGACATCAACCCTCAAATCAAAGCGTAAAAGGTGAGCCAACCGATATCATCATCTAAAAATCAAGATTCGTTCGCTTCGGGGTCGATGATTTCTCAATCAACTCAACTTCTGATCCATCAGTTAGAGCGCAATCTCTGGCCTCTACCATATAATGTTCTGATTTTTCGTTTTTGGCTTTGATATGTATGTGCAGGTAGCTAGGTTCAGAGCTGCAAAGTATATACATGCATATATATACCTGACGCCTAATCACACGAAAGATCTCGGTGACACACACACAGAGAGAGAGAGAGAGAGAAATAAGAAGATCTCGATTCAATTGTATATCTAGTTATTAGTCAGAGGTGACACCTTAATGACATACGTACACGCTACTAGTCTGACCACTGGCATACGCGTTGCAATTGTTGAGCTGATATTATATAATCAAAAGGAAAAAGAAACCTTCTTGTGGTTTTTCTGTTGTGGGTGAACGTACATACGTCTCCAAAAATTCGTTCTTGTGCATATATGTATATTGATCGGTCCATGCCCTTCTACGGCGTCTCGAATGACCAATGAAAAAGAGATGCGCACCTCTGCTTTTATCAAGTCTCTCTATGTATGTACTGTCCATAGCTGTTTTGTTTCAACTTTCAAAGGATGCTACATCTACAATCGGTGATAACATTCAACGGTGTACGTACGCGTCTTGATGCAGGAACGGAATCTCCAGTGCCGTGTGGGCCTTGTTGTATCAAATTAGGTACACCAAACTTGAATTGGACGACTGAAAATTAATTGGATAATTGGGCCTAACCACCGCCACAAGACAAAGTCCCAGACTTTTCCAGCGTATAAAGAAGCCTTCTAAGGTCTCAACCACATACACACATATATATTGTGCATCCTCATCATCTAAGCAGCTATTGTGCCGATTATAGTTATGCAAACTGTAGGCCTTACTGGTGCAAGAGACAAAAGCCAAAACCCAGGGTCAAATATCAGGGTAAAGCCAAGTTCACACACAGCTTTCAGGTTCAAATTGCTGACCGCATACTAGAAACAAGCAAAAATCTCCACCTAGAATGACATCACCAAATTAGATGGAACCTTCCAACACTGCAAGCACAGCTTAGTAACACACCACCGCTCATATTTATTCAGAGAACAACATACTCGGAATGCGAAGAGTTCACAGTTTTAACACCCAGAGGAACTACAAATGCGATGCAGTTCATAGTTGACCAATGACCACCCAGAAGAAATCCATACAGTTCACCACCCAGAGGAGACCCAAATGCGGTTCCCAATTCAGCACCCAGACCAATATCGACGAGTACCTTAACATCACCTATATATCACTACAATAGTCCTACTGTTTACATGTTCACCATACTTGTGTCGCCTCACCAACGAATACCACTCCGATCGCTGCACGTACTTTACTTTCCGTAGTAGCCCTGCGGAGGGGGGTAGGAACCAGGTGGGGGATACGAACCAGGTGGAGGGTATGAACTGCCCTGGGCCTGGGGGTAACCTGCTGGCGGGTAACCTGCCGGTGGGTAGCCTTGAGCTGGCGGCGGTGGGTAACCCTGAGCTGGAGGAGGTGGGTAGGCACCATAAGGCTGGCCGTATGCTGGTTGTGGTGCATAGCCAGCGGGTGCAGGGACAGGCTGATCGATGCGTGACATCTGCTGCATTGGAGGCACTTGCATGGGTTGTGGCCCGAACTTCCCATCCCTCTTGTCCATTTCAACCTTGTGCTGTGTCTGCATTTGCAATTCAATGTCATAAAATGGATACATATGGGTTAAGCAGGGCGATTCATTAGGTCACGAGCAGATATGGACGTATATTTACCTGCATACAGGCGCAAACCCTGCAAGGATTGTGGCAAAAGATTATCAACATTGCAGGCTTATTGTGGAGAAGAGAAAAGATCAGAGGTATAAGAGCCTTACGAGCAGTAGACCATATCAGACAGGCAGGAAAGGATCTGGGAAGCCTCTGAAAGCTCCTCACTACCAACAATAGCAGCAACTATTGAGAAGATGCAAGCAACTTGTTGAAGGCAGAACATGAAACCCTGTAGTAAAAGGTGGTATTCAGTAGAGAATTGTAAACAGGAACCACAGAAAGAAATCTGTAACATAGGAGGGCAGTGACAGTACAATGATGCAGTTATCACACTTGGTTGTCTGTATGTTGAATTCGTCTTGAAGCAAGAAGCGGGTTGAAGCAACTGAATTACCAAAGCACAGAAACACCTGCAAAGATATAAATTCAATGAACCCAAATATAAGCTAAATCAGAAGGGCAGCGGTATCATTAGAAGTTTAACTATGAAAAATTGCACTTAACATCATTTAAGATCAAATGTGTATTGTTCTGTTCGATAACGGTGGTCTAGTTGATCAAATAAATCAAAGCTAGCTTATGGATCATCTCAAGCTAATTGGTTGAAAAAATCAAAGCCTGCTTATTTGACCCATCTCAAGCTAATTGATCTACTCATTGTTCTTTCATGCCAAAAGAAATACAATGAGACGGAAGAGATAGGCATACTGCACGGTGTTTGAAACTACCAGACATGCAACGAAATAACTAAGTTAGCTGAGCCTAGAAATACAAAAACTCCGCACAATCGGTACAGAATACTGCTAATCAAATAACCAATGGAAGGAGTTATCTATTATCAGATCCACATGAAAACTATTAGACATGTCAATATGTAATCCAACCGCATCAAGAAAATAAGTTAGGACAGGTACAGTAAGAGGGAACTGATACGTCTATATGGATCCAACCACATCAAAATCATCAGCTAAGAGAGGTATAGTGAGAAGAAACTTCAGGGCAAAAGCACATAAAATGGGCCATGTACCTCAGTTGCAAGACAGAATTCTGGGCATTTGCTTTCACCACACTTGCCACTACATGGCATATAGCCAGCACAGCACGTATACCTAAAACACACAGAAGCACGGAGGGGATCAAGGGGGTTGTAAAAAAAGCGACGCTTCTAACCGTGACAATTAGAACATAATATAATTGACACTACCTTGACATGTCATTGTAGAGAGCCCTTTTACGAAGCATGTATGATACGCATGGTCCACTGAACAGCAAATAGAGGAGATGTAGCAGATTAGAAAGTAAATAAAAATCTATATGCTGCAAAATGCTAAATCTATGAACCCAATGCCACCCATTATATTGTTCCACAAACTATAGCATCACTGTAAATATTGAGAATCTACTTGAGCATTTCATTTTTAGAACCCACTGCATTTGCAAAATGCTGGGTCTGCCACAAGATAAAACTTCCTAACATGATTGCTTGATTAGATATTACAACGAAGATAAACTTCCCAATATGATTGCTTGATTAGATACTCTACAGTGAAGATAAACTTCCCAATACGATTGCTTGACTAGAAAATCAATAATAAACTTACAAACATACATTGGACAGGAAATGAACATTGTTCACCAAGAAACCAACACTAAAGGAAATACTATATCAATATCCTTTGGCAAAATTCATTTGGTGTCGTGTGGACTAGTAGTAACTACTGGGTCTTATTTGAATGTAAACTAGCAGATCCAGTTAAATTGACCTCCAAATTTGTAAATCACATTGCAGCTGCAGAGGAAAAATTAATGCAGTTGAGGTGGTAATTGACTCTCATACTTCAGTTTTAGTCCCTGTGCAAGAATAACTTCACTTTCCATGCTGTTGCAACTCTCATGTATCACCGACTGTTCTAATTGCAATGTGCTTCAAAGAATGACAAATGTAACATTCTGGGTCTTACTATTTTACGAATATGAACTCTACTTGATTAGGATTCTTCTGAATGCAAAAGAACTGAGAGCACACTACCACAGCCAGCCTGAAATGATAAGAGGACCGCTGATTTTCACATGCATGCTTTGGCGTAGGTTCATCTCGGAAATGTTTTATTCATAGCCCCTGAAATCTGGATCGATTTCAGAGGCCCAAACCGGTCACAGAATAACCAGTCCTGCCTGGTTCTGAGAAGCAATTGGTCGTCAACTGGTAACTGCTAGTAAGTACGAATCTAGGCATCTTCATGATCGCTAGTAACGTCAACAACACAATGCAGAACAAACAGAGTTCCCGAGTATTATGCCAAAATTCCCTTAAACCCAACCCAGTTCACGAAAACACGGACAATTCATCCCAGATCAAGCAGAAAAGGGTGGCTCAAAAACCATGAGACGGGAAGCACGGCGTTCGGGTCAGGGATCGCTTACCACCATACAAGAGGTCGTCGATCGTACTACGAAATAGCACATAACTGCCACCTAGTACTACGAATCTAGGCATTTCCATGATCGCTGGTAACGAAACAACACAATGTAGAACAAACAGGGCGCGCGTACTCGTCGAAACCCCCTTAAACCCTAACCCAATTCGCGGAAAACACGGGCAATTCGTCGCAGATCTAGCGGAGACGGGGGTCCAAAAAGAGACCCTGAAATGGATGGCACAGGGTTCGGGGTCGAGGATCGCTTACCACCAGAGCGACAGGCAGCAGTCTGCAGGGGAGAAGAGCGCGGGTCAGAGACGGGATCAACCCAGGAGGAATCGACGAGCGAGGGGGCGAGAGACGGCGGCGGCGCCGGCGCCGGCGCCGGCGATATTTTACTTACACGGGAAGTCGGCCTGGATGGCGTTGGGGAGGTCGGTGTGCCAGAGGTTGCGGTAGCTCTGGCGGAGCTGCATCTTGTCCAGATTCGCCTGCGACGACGCCATCGCCGCAGTCGCCTGCTTGCTTCCGCCTGCCGGCGCGCGCGGGGGAGGGCTCCGGTGGGGACTGCGGAGGAGATCTGGCGGGCGGGGGCGGGGGCTGGGAAGGGGGAGGGGACGACGCGGCTAGGCTGGAGTCGACGGCGGGTGGGGAATGAGTAGTGCGCTCCGCGTCATTCCGTTCCCTTGGGCGGAGGAAAAGAACAGTGCGGGTGTGGGTCCCGTCGTCCGCCCACATGGTTGGCGGGCCCGCCCAGGGTCGTTCCACCCAGTCAACGGGCCCAGCCGTACGATGTTTTCAGAACTGAAGGCCACGTGTGTTCAAAAAAAAAAAAAACTGAAGGCCACGTCGCGAAAAAAACAATTGTTCCGTTAGAAAGTTCGGCCTGATCACACGGGCCGGGCTCGTATGGACAGGCCGTACAATCTGGTGGACGACAAAGCGAGGCCGCACGCAACTTTTTTTTGAGTTAATACCATAATTAGCCCAAATCACTAATTAAGTAGTACTCGTTACAAAGAACACTTCACTTCCCCGGGTCATGTGCGTCACTTATCACAAATTGGGAGTTTTTTTTTCGTAAATCCGTTTATTCAAAACGTTTTATCTCTTTAACCGTGCGTCCAAATCTCGAACCGTGTTCATCATTGGATTCCTCGCGTCGAGATCTTCAAAACTAGATCCCATGTTGATAGGTTTTGACGATCTTTTTTTTCACGAAAAAACTGGACGAAAAAAACCGGGCGAAAAAACCGAACCGGGAGCACGGTTTTTTCCCTTTCCGAAAGAGGCAGGCCCGTGCCTCTCGCGAAATCACAACCGTGCCTCTCGTGAAAGCAAAACCGTGACTCTCGTGGAAGGAAAAAAACAGAAAACGCGTTTTTTTTTCGTTTCCGAGAGGCACGACCGTGACTCCCGCAAAGACACAACCGTGCCTCTTGCGAAAGCAAAACCGTGACTCTTGCGGAAAAAAACAAAAAACGCGTATTTTTTTCCTTTTCCTAGAGGCACGGCTGTGATTTTCGCGAAAGCACAACCGTGTCTTTCGCGGAAGCAAAACCGTGACTCTCACGAAAGAAAAAAAAAATAGAAAACGCGTTTTATTTTTTCACTTTCCTAGAGGCACGGTCGTGACTTTTGTGAATGCACAATCGTGCCTCTCGCGGAAGCAAAATCGTGACTCTCACAAAAGAAAAAAGCAGAAAACGCGTTTTGTTTTTCCCTTTTCCGAGAGGCAAGGCCGTGACTCTCGCGAAAGCACAACCGTGCCTCTCGCGGAAGCAAAACCGTGACTCTCGTGAAAGAAAAAAACAGAAAACACGTTTTGTTTTGTTTCCGAAAGGCACGACCGTGACTCTCACTAAAACCATGCCTCTCGTGGAAGAAAAACCGTGACTTTCGCGAAAGGAAAATAAAAGAAAACGCGTTTTTTTCGCGCAAAAAAAATCAATTTTTTTATTCGAAAAGCTAAGAAAGACCTGGGGAAAACCAAAACGTCAAAAAACCCGAAAAACCCGTTTAAAAAGCTGAAAACGCGTGCGGAAAAATTAAAAAAAAACAAAATCCAAAGGAAGCATCCAGAGCGCGACACGTGGCGAATGGCTGAGAGCGCGCCAAGTGGCGTTGATCGTTGCGAGGCTCCCGAAGGAGCGCTCGTTAATTAGTTGCTCCCATAATTAGATGGAAACAGAGTCATATACAACTAAAAAACCTCAAAGAAGTAGTCCTTCGACTTACCTAACAATTTTTGAACTTGGGGCCTTTGCACGAGATGAATCAAACGCACGCGCGAGATAACCAGCAAACCTGAAGGGTTACCATGACGACATGCATTGCTTTACGTTCAAAGCGGAGACCAATAGTTTTTATATTAAGAAGACTAGACAATTCCCCGCGCGTTGCTGCGGGAGTTGATTGCAATATATCTGGATAAGACTTGGTTTTAAATGTGAATATTCAGATAAAGGATAACCGGAAATGAAAAACTATATGATCTATTATTGTACTTGATTAGTTTATTCTTGTAAAAAAAATTGGGGTGAAGGGCACGAAGTATGTTCTCGTACCATATCAGGAAACGTATGTAAGATGTGGTGGTTGAAATGCAGGCCGTGTGTGTTGATTTCTCCCACCATACAAAGAATTTTTTCTGAGGGGTACCATATAAAGAATTAAAATTTAGGGGAAAATAAAATGCAAGGCTATATACTCAATCAGGCAAAATTAAATTGAAATATTAATCAAGCACACAAAGATTCAAAATTTGCAATGGATGAAAACAATATGTACCTATAGGAGTCGTAAATCTGTAGTGCCTGAGTATGCATCATGGGTAGAACAACCAAGATGACTGCCACAGTGTCCAAGTCGCCGGGCACCTAAAGATGTCCAAACTTCTGATTCAACCACCAATATGTCATGCAAGTCTATGTATCCAATCCACCAAAATTAAATTTAGAAATTAATCTACTATCTACTACCACTATAAAAGAGAGAAAGGGGCAGATCCAAACAATCATATCCATTCATCATTAAAATCTAATGGCTCTTAATCCTCCGGTGTTTAATGCTGCAAGCCACGCATCAAGCCACTAACCCATCGACCGCTAACCCTCACCGTCGCTAAAAAAACACTGCGAACACGACCTTTCGCCCCAACGGACGCCACAGCACGGCCGCACGACCTCTCCCCCAACTGACGCCACAGCACGGCCGCAGGCCGCACGACCTCTCGCCGCTGGAGAGAGCCGCCGCGCCCCCCACCCCCCGCCGTTCGTCGTCTCACCGCGGGAGGGAGCCGCCGCCCACTCGCCCTTCCTCCCTTCACCGCGGGAGGGAGCCGCCGCCCACCCGCCGTTTCTCCCTTCGCCGCGGGAGGGAGCCGCCGTCCCCCGCCATTCCTCCCTTCGCCACGGGAGAGAGCCGCCCCCGCCGTTCCTCCTCTCGCTGCGGGATAGAGCCGCCGCCCCCTGTCGTTCCTCCCTTCGCCGCGGGAGAGAGCCGTCACGCCCTTCGCCGCGGGAGTTGAGCTTCAGCTTGGCCTCCGCACCGATGTTCCTCTTCTGCTTCCCATCGGCCACAAGTAAGTTTCTTGTACACTGAAGCTCAACTGTTCCTAATCTGTAGACTACAGACTACCTACCTTTTTCTGTTCTGATGAATTTTGGCCCTCTTAGACTTTGTTTCACATTTGCCTTGCGTTTCAACCAAAGGGATTGTGAGTTGCCTTTCAACCAAAGGAATTGATACAAATGCATTGTGAACAGCTAGGTGGTAACAAAGGGATTGATACAAAT